CTTCCAAACCATCAAATTCAATTTTGTGATTTGCGTAAATGCCAACCAGCTGTTTTTGATCAGCTGTTTTCCTGTTGGCAAATTGCTGTTGGCAAAAATTTTTCCAACAGAAACCAGCAGCTTCCCCTCAAAATGAAATGTCACTTTGCTCTCTCAATTTCCCCTACTTTGCAAGTTTTTTGCGTACGCGAACGCAAAAACTTGTAAGTTTTGGTTAAACATGAACAATTAACAGCTACGCGAACGAACCTACTATCAAAATCCAGGATCGTGATCCAAACATCGCTATAGGTATTGATGGTGTGACAGGGGCCTATCCCTTTATCACTTTAGATGAAGGCCTCTAAAAAACATAGGTATCTCACAATGTTTATATGGACTTTGGAAAAAGCTGTCATACATTTTTTAAATAAACATCAAAAATTTCGATTTATTGACAATTTCGGCCTATTCCAAATACGTGAAACTTTTTTGTCTAAATCTTTATTCTTTCACTTGGATCACCCAGTTCGCAGACGCCATTTGCAAACTTCAGCGAAAATTTCCCGTTCAGCCGCCATCACATTCGTTGCTTGTTCGGGTATTGTTCATTCGTTGATCACAATTTGGTAATTGCTCGTTCAATTGCCATCACGTCGTTTTCGCTTTTTCCTGCACATTTAAATTAGTTAAAATATTATACAGTAAAATTATAGTATTTTACTTTTATTGTATAACTAAAAATTTGACTAATGCTTCGAAAAACGTAAATTAATTACTTTTTTCGTAACAATAAGTGAAATACGCAGTAGAACAGAGCAGCAAAGTGATCGGAAAATTGTGGAAAAAATCACCAATTTTCTTTTTTTGGAGCTCCTCACGCACCTAAAGAAAATATATACACTTATTGACTACTGCAGGAATCGTAGTGAAAATCGACGCGACAGCAAAAACTAAGCCGTATGATATAAATCCACTTTAATTGAAAGCGGAAAGGCTGAGCAGTTTTATTGGAGCGTAGAACTGGAATCAAAAACTTCGCATCGAAGCGGAAAACTTGAATATTTCGGTGAAATAGTTGGTAATTGAAGCATTGGGTAAGTGAATAAATAAATATATTATCCTACTTATATATATATATGTCCTGCCTTTTGTTTTTATTGAGTAAGCGCTTTCACCTTATTGCATCAAAAAACGATCCACTATCGATTTTCTCAACGACGGACAGCGTACGTTGAACGAAGTTATATGTATACATATATAGTATATATAAAAGTACTTAAATATATGTATAGTTGTAGTTGGATACGTATATGTATATAGAACTTCTGCTTTTTCACAAGTGATAACCATGTGGTTCTTGATCTCAACTAGTTCATATTTAATTAGCGGCCAACAATAAATTCGTTTATGACATTTGGCTTTCGTCAACTGTAATTTAGAATATTTCAAATACATTGCAAGACTTCAATAGGAATGAAAGGAACTTTTATTGCTTTATGTTTGCCTCCGCGAGCTTATATTCGGGCTAGGTTACTTATAAGGTTAGGCTTCTTTGATGATCATTTGTCAGTTGAGTAGACATAGGTAACCATATCTACCATTTTTTAAATGTCATTCCTATGCCAATATCTTTGCTAAAATTTTGTATTTTTCCTGTTCCTTTTTGTCTTTTCTTAAAAATAAAAAATAAATAGAATCTGCGTGGATTGCACGGCGTTTGACATAAAATAATAAAATACAAACGAATCTTCTTCGTCAAGAC